CACCATCTAGTTCTTCTGGTCTCATAGTTGTATAGGTTGCAGATTGGATGGTGTACCAGTCGTGAGGACTGATAGTTTCCATTAATTTTGGTTTTCTTTTTTCTTCTTTGCTCTTGAGAGGGAGAGACCTATCGTTGTCATATGCCTGTCTTTTGTTTGGCTGGAAGCCACAGGTGTGGGTTCAGTTCTGAAATTTGAATTTTTTTTTGCAAGTGTGTATAAATTGTATTCTGTTTATTTCAGGGGAGCTCTGCTAGCATAGTGCCTAAGGCACTTGACTGTTAACCAGAAGGCTGGCAGTTCAAACCCACCAGCCACTCCTTGGAAGGAAGCTTGGGCAATCTATTTCCATAGTGATACTGCCTCGGAAACCCAAGGAGGGGTCGCTATGAGTCGGGGCCGACTTGACGGCACATAACAACAACAACAACTGCCTTGGAAAACCAAGGAGGTGTCGCTGTGAGTCGGATTTGACTCCACGGCAGTGGATTTGGTTTTTTTGGTTTATTTCAGTTCTTTACAACTAACTTTTACTCTTGTGTTTTTAGAGAAGGTCAGGAATGAAATTTTATATTATGGGACAAAGGCAGGATTTATTAATTTGGCCATTTAATCACTATTTTTTGAATCTCTTATGTGTACCAAGCTTAGTCACAGCCTTCGTGAAGATACAAATATTTAAGACACACTGTGCCTTTGAGTAGAACACAGTTGTAATGTTCTAGAATTTCTTTGGAATCCCCAGTTCCCATGAGTTCATTGTAGCTTGGAGGTTATAGGAGTAAATGATATTTTAAGGATGGCTTAGTTGTCCTGAAAACTAATGGTTCCATCTGGTAAAGCCCTGAAGAGCTCAATTTTATAATCTCAGTCATACTGTATTTCATGTCCACCCTGAATCAGGGTGACTCAATGGCAGCTAACAGCAACAGTAACTCTATGTTTACACTACTAATTGGTAACTGTAATACTAGTTGTATAATTCTAGAATTTATTACAAAACTATTTTGTAGTAATCTGTGAATTGGAACTGACTCGACAAAATACAACAACAACAACAAAAACAATATCCAGGATCTAACTCCCCCTGTGCATGTTGTTATGTGCCGTCGAGTCAACCCTGACTCATAGCGACCCCTCCTTGGGTTTCCGAGGCAGTATCACTACGGAAGTAGGATTGCCCAACCTTCCTTCCGAGGAGTGGCTGGTGGGTTTGAA